TATCATGGGCAGGATGGGGATGTGACTGAGGGGTGTGACTTGAGCCCTGGTGGGGTTGGGGGATGGAGGCCATGTGGGTGCAGGTAGGAGGGCAGAGGAGGAAGCCTGGTGAGCAGGGAGGGGAGCTGCTTTCTGAAGTCAACAAGCAGAAAGGTGGAGAGCAAGGTGGGGGAGGCCTTGGTTTCCCTCGTGTCTCCCCTGCCCAGGGGTTCCTGGGGCAGCACCCAGGACATCATTAGAACCACATTCCTGTCCAACCCCCTCACTTGACAAGAAGGCATCTGAAACCCAGAGAAGTGAGCAGATTTGCCCGGGGCCACCCAGCAATTTGGTGGTCCTCCTAGGATCATGCCCTGAGCCTCTGGACCCCGGAAACAGCTGAGGAATCCCTCAATGAGCTGCCAGCTAGGTGCCCACCTGAATCCAGCTGCCAGGCCAGCCTTTGGAGATTTGCAGCTGTTTCAGCTGCATCAAAGCTGCACCTGACAAACAGGGACCAGTGGAGCCTGCTGCAGTGGCTGCTCCAGCAGCCCTTTCTGCACTGGGAGGAGGAAGGCTGCGTTTAACCCTTGCCTCCCTGACAAGTGCCTGGGGAATCCAAGCAGTGGCCTCAGGTAGCCTCTCACCCTCCCTTCATGGCTGTGGTTGGGCTGGGCTGGGCTGTGACACCAGGACACCTGGGTCCCCCACACCACATCCCAGCCCTCTTCCCTCCTGAAGCAGCTCCAGTCCCCACAGGTGGGGAGGAAATTCCATCTGAGCCCCAGCTGCTCTGAGATTGGAGGGGCCCACCTGCTGCTCCAGAAGGGGCCTGCCCCCTCCCCGGGGAAATCAAAGGTCAGGACCTTCAGCACCTCCCCTGCCTGTCCTGCCGGAGAGCAGGGAGCCCCATGGGCTGCTGCAGGGACAGAAATAGCCCTGACTTTCCAGGGAGGGAGGATCTTTTTTGGTCTCCAGTCTATTCGGTCCCCTCGCAGGCACCACTGCTCCATGGAGCCCATAGGCTCATGAAGAGTCAGGACCATTTCCCTGGGCAAGGCAGGGGTCAGGCAGTCAGCGGGAGGGATTGGGAGGCTCAGAGGAGGGGGAGTCACTGAGGACCCGGAAGTGGGAAGGGCCAGGATAGGAGAAGGAAAGAAGGGAGAAGGGAGAGCAGAGGAAGAAGGGGACAGAGAATCCCAGGGGGCAGTGGGTGGGAGGTAAATGGGTGCCTCATCTCTGAAATCACTGCTGATCAATCGTTGGTCTCAAGGTCACACAAAGGGCAGGAGCCTTTGGCCAGGGCCAGTCCAGGGTATGAGAAGATCAGAGCAGACAAGCCCGGGGGAGGGTGCAAGCTGACATCCAGGCCTTTCTAGCGCTGGCCTTCTGACAACAGCCTCCCCAAGCCCGAACGGAAGAGAGGACGGATGCGGGAGCATGAAGAATCCCAGAATCTAATTTTAGCCCAGTGCTCCCCGCCTCCCCTGCTGACAGTGAGCAGAGCCTGGGCGGGTGGGAGCCTTGCACCCCTTGCCAGTGCTCCTGCTCTTATGGAAGCGCCAGCTGGCAGGGACAGCTGCCAAGAGTGGCTGGGGTCTGCAGGTGAGGCTCCCAAGCTCACACAGGGCAGGGGCTTTGCTGGACTGGGAGGGACCCAAAGTCTGAGCTGTGGTGCTGGAGGCAGGCCTGATGAGGAGGCAGAGGTTGAGGCTAGTGGGTGACACCACTGAGATGAGATTGGGTACGTTTATGTCCTGGTTCTGGATGACCTCAGCCAATCGCCTCTGCCTCAATTTCCTTGCCTGTGAAATAGCCATAGCAATCACATCAATTTCAGATGATGGCGCATCTGGCCCTGGACCCTAATAGCTCAGGACTGTCATGATTCCTTTCACCACGGCACATCTCAGAGGTCCCCAAACTGATCTGTTACTCCAGACCTGGTGCTTAACTTTGCACTGAGGTACAAAGGTGAGGAAAACACCACCGCCATCCTGCCCACAAGCCTGACGCCAAGAACAACTGATTAACTCCAGGAACCTTCAGGTCTGGGCCTCCCAGGGAGCTGGGACAGGGAGTGCGGTGGGGGGAAGGCAGAGATGAAGCCCCAAGCGGGGGAACCCTGGGGACCACAGGGGCAGTCCTGCATGGGCAGACAAGGACGCCAAGGCCCAGAGGGGGACCAACTCCTGCCTATGGACAGACTGACAGGTGATGGCAGGGTGAGGACATGAACCCTGATCTCCCCACTTCCCCCTGCCCTGCCGCCCGCAGCAACCAGGACCTGGGAGCAGAAAGCCCTGCCAGTGTCAGGGAAGCCAAAGGCTGCCCAGCTTCAACTCCAGCCAGGCAGATGCCTCCTCCCCAGCCAGAGGCAACCCCATTTGCAGGTGGGAGCTGCACATGGTCTCATACCCCTTGCCAGTAGCCCCCCAACACACACACAGGGTGGGGACCGTGCAGAGGACAGGGAGAGCACAATCACACCACAGTCACCAGGGCCTGATGAGCCCACAAGCCTCCCCCTTGAATATTAGCAGCAGATAAGCTGAGCCCTCCTGCCACAGGTCCCTTCCTGAGCAAGGGTCAGGAGTCCCTTCAGCCACAGTGCTCCAAAGAGGAGTGTTCAGCAGCCCCAAAGTTCTCAGCAAGTATTCCCAGGTAGAGCTGGCTCATAAGACCCTCTCAAGGGTATCCCTGCCATCTAAGGACCCAGGTTCTCACAGAGAAGGTGCAGCTGTTGGGTCTTCCTCATCCTGCTCTGCCCAGCTCCTCTTTAACTGCGTTCTGCAGCAGCACCTCCCTTCCAGCAGGGATGTCCTAAGAAAGGGGTGTCTGGAAGGATGATGTGACCAGCCGAGACAGCTCCCGTCCACCTGAACTGCCAGGCAAAGCACCCCTGCTATCCTCACACCCCTGACCCTCACCTCCAGGCAACTTGCCTGAATTATTCCTGGAGGCAGAGGGCTGCACCCACCCCACTCCCACCTCTGCTTTTCTCAGCCATTCTCATCAGCCTGTAGCCTTCAGATGGGCTCAGAGAGAAATCAAAAGCAGGTCCTACTCAGAGACAGCTGCAGGCATAGAGTGTAAGAGAGAAGGCCTGATCAGGAGCCAGATCCCGGGCCCAGCTCCGGCTGCACCCCGTTAGCCAAATGGCCTGGCCAGGGTCCTGAGACTCCATGCCCTCCGCAGTTCCTTGCCTGAGAACTGAGCAAGATAGCAAAATGGAGACAAGCCAAGCACAGCCCCTGCCACACAGCTGACTCTCAGCGGATGCTTCCTGAATGTGGGCCTGCTATTCCTTGAGTTTGGATGCAATCCTTTCAGTGTGGAAGTGTGGCGTGATGGGCATCCTGGGTCTAGGTCTAGATCTAGATCCAGCCGAGCCAGCTGTGTCTGTGTGAGGCCCCCTGAGGCAAGTCATCTCCTCTCTGTGGGCCCCAGTCCCTTCCTTCATATAATTCAAGGGTTGAACTGAGCTGTGGGGAATGGAAAACCTGGGACATATCTGCCATCAGTTACATATTCTGTGGCAGTGACAGACATGAACAATCAATCACAGCACAGTCACCTACTGAATCTATCCACATGCAGTTTCAGGATCTCAGATACCCAGCGCCGCTGAGTGAGCTGGCCCAAGAGATGGAATCACAATTCTTCATCACCTGAATTTCATAGTTTTGTGACTTCAGGACCTAGAGAGGTCACCTTAAGTCTGAATTTTGTTTTGTGTTAAATGATCACTCTCAGCAAGGTTGTGAGAATTAATGAGATAATTTATTCAAAATGGGCTAGCAAACAGTCCCATTCCAGCAGTGGTACCTTTCTACCACCATTTCCAGAGACGGGGCAGGGTACTCTACTCAAAGGCCCCAGGCCTGCCCCTTGCAGATGCTTAAGCACCAGGGGACAGTGTGGTCCAGCAGAAAGAACCTGGGCCTGGATGACCTCAAGCAGGTGATTACAGCTTTCTCAGCCTGCATTTCGCTAGTATAAAATGGGCTTATACTTACCTTACAGGCAGGCATAAGGATTAAATGAGGTCATCAGACAAAGCCTGGATGAGTAAAAGGGAGTCAATGAACTATCCTCACCTACCCATATCAGGCCTCTGGGTGTCAGCAGTGGGCACCTCGGCAGGCGCAGGGAACTGAGAGTAGGGCAGGGCATGTCTTTCTTGTTAATTACAAAGTGAAGCCCATGTCCCCATGTCATCAGTGATGGTGGGTACACTGGAGGTCCCACTGGTTGTCCTTAGCAGAAGCATGCCCCGCAACAGTACGGAGGTGGTGAGACTGAAGATTCTGGGCCAATGTGGAAGTAGAGGGTAGCCTCACACTGAGGGTCTTGGGGCTTCACTGCTCCCCCCTTCTCCCTCTCCTCCCTGGGCTGGCCACTGGTGCTATCCCTTACCCATGGGACCAGACCAACCTGGTTCAGGTCCCCAGGACTGCCCACTCAGGGGCAACTAAGTAGGGCAGGAAGGCTGTGGCACCAGACCACCCAGCAGGGCTAGCTTAGGGCTGTTTTTAAAATCAGTCACAAATCTACCAATCACAATATCCTTTACACATGCCTCTCCCCCTACCCAAAACCCATCTTGCCTCTTGGTATACTCCTGCTCTTCCTCCAAGACCCAACCCAAAGGCCACCTCCTCCAGGAAGCCTTCCCTTCTCTCCCTTCCCAGGTAGCCAGTCTCAGGCTCCTCAGCCACCCTCATCCACTGGCTTGTGATGATAAGTAAGGATCCTGCGTGGATGAAGGCAGGCAGGCAGGGCAGGGGCCTGGGGAGACCAGCCAGCCACATCTAGGGGAAGAGAGGACTACTGGCCCCAGAAGCGAGCCCCAGCTCATTGAGCCAACACCCAGAGTCTACTGTGCCAGCAGCTGAGGAATAACTGCTCCAGACAGCCCTTGAGCAACGAGGACACTGCTTGCTTATTACAAAATATCCTTTATTGATAAAATAGCTCAGACTTAAAAAAAAAAAAAAAAAAAAAAAAAACACCTACATGTCACAATAAGAGATCACAGGCAAGAACACTTGGGGGTCCCATGGGGTGCACACAAGACCGGCCGGCAGAGGGTCACAGTCAGTCCCTCCCCTGGCCCAGCTCCCCACCACACCCGAGGGCGATGCTCTAGCCTCACAATGACAACCCACTGAGGCCTGGACTGGGAAGCCTCCCACTCCCCAGGAGGAACTCTTTTTGGTCCCCTCCATTCTCTCTACATCCCAAAAACTCCCTCAGTGCCCTTCCAAATCTCACAGGTCCATCTGGTGCCAACAGTGTCTGCACTGCTCACCCCATTCCCCCTGTACCCGCCAAGCTAAGATACCTGTTGGTCCAATGCTGAAGCCATGCCCTCCCCAAGGGAAGGCCCCGAAACCTCCTTTCCACACTTCCAATGTTCTGGGTGCCAGGTTTGGGGGTGGGACCAAGAACCAGAAAGGAGAGGCTCCTGAATGCACAGTCCGATCAGCGTAGGGGGAGCAGTGTAGCTGGGTCTGAGGCAGTCCACAAGCACCCACCTGTGGGGATCAGTTATGTTTCACAAGGACACATTTGGGGCTTGGAGACCTGGCTGGGCACTCCAGTGGGAGGCTCCCCTAGGGGTCCACTGGGCTTTCATGCCAGCACCCCACCTGGGGGCTCTGCCACCTGTTAGAGGCTCTCATCTTAGACTGTTCCCACGGTGTGGATGTTTTGGGCTGTCTTGGAGAAACAATTTGCCCTCTTGATGACAAAAGACCTGCCCCCCACAGGGGATGCCCAAGCCACTAAAATCCCTTTTGGTGTTATACACGAAATGTTGAGAAGCTGTCATGCAGCATGATAAACCAGACCTTTGCAGCCACAAGAACACATTCTCAAAGAGATCCTTTAACTTGAAATAGTGATTCTGTCTGCCACTCCCTGCTTCCAGTTTGGGGTAGGAATTCACACACCCCAGGCACAGAACAAAAGTCTACAGGAAGACAGGTGGTGGTAAACACAGAAGAAAGGGATTTTTATATCACCGGATAATCACATTTTTGGTTCTCCAGTGTGTTCCCCCACGGAGCTCAAAGCTTTCTGCAAAGCCTTTCATCTCCCTGCAGCAAGTAGGCGGTAAGCTATTGTCGCCCCGATTTTTGCAGGGGGTGAATGCCAGTGATCGGGGATCTCCTGTCGAGGCAGAGACCAAGCCTCTAAGATCACCCCAGCGAGGCATCCACGTGACCACACCCACCTGCAGGAGGGGTGCTGGGTGAGGAAACCGATCCACAGTTCTGGCCTTTAAAGGAACCATAGATCCAAAACCAGACAAAAGGGGGAAAGAAGGGCCCAGAGATGGTGCCACCCCAAAGCCCCCATCCCAGCATCTGCCAGGGACCAAGAGTGCCCAGCATGGGTGATCAGTCTTCGTTTCTTCCTCCTCCTCAGCAGCAGGCCCCACTGGGAAAAGTGGAAGGCTGGCTTTGTGCTCTTTGTGGGTAGAAGGAGATCAAAAACAAAAACAAAAACACCGTAAGCAAGTGACCTACCAGGAACACAGGGTCCTCAAGAACGGGAAGCCCTGACATTGGCCTGGAGAGCATGGGGCTCTGGGAAGGAAGTGCTCTCTCTTCTGATCTTGGCTATGTTCTGGAGGCTTTGAACCACCTCCATCGGCCTGTGCTCAGGAGGAGGGTAGAGAATGGGTCCCCATCAAGCTGAGCCAGCAAAGGAAGGCTTCACTGGGACCCTTGCGAACAGCACCCCCCCCACACCACCGAACACCCCTTCCAAGGAGCTCCTAAGATGAGGCCTGCAGGATCTGGGCAGGGAGCAGAAAGCCCCAGAGAGGCAGCCACACCCAGCAAGGCAAGAAGCAAGGCGGCCCCGACGCCACCGCACCAACCCCACAAGGGCAGTGCAGTCGGGCTCACCAGGCCGTCTGGGTCCATGGGCGGCACAGGATCCTCCGGAAGGCACGGCGGAAGTCCTGGTTGAAGATGGTGTAGATAACAGGGTTCAGCGAGCTGTTGCAGTAGCCAATCCAGAAGAAGAACTGGAAGAGGCCATGGGGCACTTTGCAGTGCTTTGGGCAGATGGCGCCCAGGCTGTAGCTGAAGAAGAAGGGGAACCAGCAGAGCACAAAGACGCCGATGACCACGGCCAGCACGAAGGTGAAGCGCTTCTCCCGGGTCAGCTGTGCCCGTCGACGCCACCACTGCCCACCCATAGCACCCACACCCCTGCCCAGGAGCACCTGGCCACGTAGCGTGGCCAGCACCCGGGAGCCCTGCGGCTGCTGCAGAGGGGGGCTGCAAGCTGAGGCTGGAGATGCTGACACTGCCTGGGGTTCACACTCTTCCTCCTCCTCCTCCTCTTCCTCTTCCTCTTCTTCAGCTTCATCCTCTGGAGATGCCCCATAGACACCTTCCTTCTGGCCCTGGCCTGATTTGGGAAGGGCAGGTGGCAAGGCCTGGTTCCCAGTATCTTCAGGGGTCTCCCCCTCCTCCTTCTCCCCATTAGACTTCGACTGTACGTCGGTCTCTCTGGCAGAAGCCAGAGAGGCCAGGGCTGGCAGCTTGGCTGAGGCCAAAGCCCCCCCACGGTCAGGTCGGGGCTGCTTGGACTCACCCTGCCCAGGCCCCTGCTTGGCCCTGGGACCTCTGCGGTTACTGCGTTTGGCGATCAGGTAGATGCGCAGGTAGACCAGGATCATGATGAGGCAAGGAGCAAAGAAAGATCCGATGCTGGACGCCAGGATGTACCAGGCCTCCTGGTTGAGCTTGCACTGGGGGCGCCCGCGCGGCTGGGGGCCCTGGTCGCCCTTGTAGATGAGGGGCGGCAGCGAGATGATGGCAGCGATGAGCCACACTGTGAGGATGATGCACTTGATGCGCCGCGGGGTGCGCTTGGAGTTGTACTCCAGCGCGCGGCTCACCGCCCAGTAGCGGTCCAGGCTGATGGCGCACAGATGCACGATGGATGAGGTGCAGAAGAGCACATCGAGCGCCAGGTACACCTCACACCACGTGCGCCGGAAGTACCAGTAGCCCAGCAGCTCGTTGGCCAGCGAGAAAGGGATGATGAGCGTGGCCACCAGGATGTCGGCAGCAGCCAGCGACACCAGAAACAGGTTCTGCGGGGCACGCAGCGAGTGGCTGGTCAACACAGCCAGGATGACCAGCGCGTTGCCAAAGATGGTGAAGAGGATGAGGAAGGTGATGGCCGCCGCGATGGCCGCCGTGGCCTGCACTGAGTAGGGCTCCTGGTGGTCCATGGCTGGGCGGGATGTGGGCAGGGGGAGCGCTGGCAGCCCGGTGCACACCGTGGGCGACAGCGCTGCCCAGCTCGGCTAGACGAGAGCGTCGCCCCTCCGGCGGCACCGAAGGCGCTGGAGCCCCATGGCCTGGGCGAGCGGGGCTTAGGAGGTCGGAAACACCCAGGACCAGCCACCGCCCTCGTACATCCTCCTCTGCCGGCGCCCGGGATCCCAGCGGTCAGACCCAGAGAAGTTTTTCGAGTTTGTCCCGCTGCCGTCCGCGTCCCGCCCGGGACCCGAGAAAGTCGCGCCCTCCTGCCACGCGGATGCCGGCTGCACCCGGGGCGCGGGCTGGGCGGGGCCGGTTCTCAGAGGAGGCGCGGAGGCCCCTGTGCCCGCTCAGCTTGCAGGCTGTCGCCCCAGCAGCGCCTGCAGGGGAGCGGGGAGCTGGGCGCTCGGCTGGAGGAGGGCGGAGACTGGAGGCGGGCGCGGGAGCGGGCGGGAGGCGGGGCGGCGGGCGGACCGGGGTGGGTGGAAGGTGCTCTTCGCGGGAGGCGCGATCCCTGGACTCCCTGTGCCCGGCCCCGCGCCCTGACTCACTGCGCCCTTGCCCGCCTTCCTCCCGGCGGCCGCGCCTCGGGAGGGCAGAGGGGCCCGGCAACCGGGGTTTTCGGCCCCTGGGCAGGACGCGCGCAGCGGTGGAGCAGGTGGGTGCCGGGAGCCTGGACGTGGAGCTGGCGCTAGGGCAGGACCCTCCTCATGGGGGAGCCGGGCTGGGCCGGGCAGGTGCGCGCTGCTCTTCCTTCTGCCTCCCGGGAGCCCATGGAGAGAGCGGGGCCGGCGTGGGGCAGGGGCGCCGGGTCTTCATACATCACAAGCCCGCCCAGCCCGGCAGTGGAGACACCCCGCGGAGAGGTGGGGGAGCAGGGAGCGGGTCCCGACCCCTTCACTGGCACTTGCCTTGGCGAACGGGCTCTGTCCGGCCAGCGCCGCGCCTGGAGGGCGCGTCCCAGCCTGCGAGCGCCCCCTGCTGCGGTCCACACGCCCAGCCCGTCCGCGGCCGCCTTGGCCCCAAAGCCATCGCTCGCAACCTGGGACTTACGACTTCGGCTTCTTGTGTCTCCGCAGCTACCTCAGTTTCTTCCATTAAGGGCAAAGGAGGTAAGAGGGAAACTGTCTTGGACTCAAATCACAGCGTCAACTGCGACTCAGCTAAGGGTTTCTACGCCGCACAGGGTGAGCTGCCGCCCCTTGACTAATGCGAAGGGAGGTCCCTGCCTGGGAGTAAAGCAAGGAGACCTGGAGGTTGGGGAGTAAAAGGTAGGGCCTTGTTCACACAGCACCGAGAAAAAGCAGGTCTCAGGGGCAGCCGTGAAGGGAGGAGCGTCCCTCCCGCTTCTGTAGTGATCCCGGGAGAAGGGGTTGACCTTCCCTCCCTGTTGCGGTCCTACCTGGCTCCCCTACATACACACTGAAGCCCTTCTGGGGGTGACAGTGGAAAGAGAGGTTGCAGTTAAAAGAAACTTCAGACTCAGGCCCCCTACTCGCCTTCAAAGAGCTATGAGCAACTGCTCTCCCCCAGGGCCCCCACTCACTCTCCCTGCCACACCAGCACCAGCCTGAGCAGCCCTGAGGGCATTCCCTGCCCCCCACCCCATTCTGGAGCCCCTAATGCCATAGGCCCCACCTCAAGCCAGGCCTCTTATTCACAGCCCACGGCTCTGCGAGGCATTCTCTGTATAAATAAGCACCAATCCACCTCTGATAGTGGGGCTCCCCCCAGGTCCCCTCCAGCCTGCTGGACCTCCGCTCCTTCCTGCCCCCTCCATGGGAGCAGAGCACACGGCCTCTCAGTGCCCAGGGACAATGTCTAGCCCCTCCCCAGGCTCAGGTGGGAAGTGCCCTGTCTCAGGTACCCAGACCAACAACCCCAGCCACAGGGGAGTGCTGGGAGCAGGTACCTCCTTGATCCCACCGTCCCTGTCATTCTGCCAGACTCCCCAGCTTCTGGTGAGGTGCAAGTGCCCACAGCCCATGGGGTGGATGCTGCCAGGGCTGGGTTAGGACATGGTAATCAGCCTCCTCCTCACCCACAACCCCAGGCCTCAGCTCAAAACCAACCAGTTTCCTAGGTGTCTTTCCCACCCTCCAGGCTGGGCAGGGCCTGGGCACCACCTGGGCATACATCACCAGGGATGGAGAGATGTCAGTAGCTCCTTCCCTAAGGAAGGACAGAGGGTGGCTACAGAAGCCTGGGGAGCAGCTACTTAGGCAAGTGTCTGCCAGTCCCCGAGGCTCTCAAGGCCTGCACAGTCTGGGTCTGCTAGAGGCCCATGTGGGCAACGGGAGGAATGGCCTTTCCACCATCTCCAACCACACTCAGGCTGGGGGTCAGTGAGCAGCTCCCCAGACTCTGCAGCCAGTATCAGCCTTTGTCTTCTGGCCCATCTTCCTTCAAGGGGCACTGCAGGAACAGCAGGGAGTCTTCAGCTGGCAGACCTGGGAGATGTGTGCCCTCTGGGTGGCAGAGCTGCCTTGGCATCCATACCGCCGCCCCCCAGGCTGTCACCTTCTACTGCAACCGTCTCCTCCCAGCTCCTCCCCAGGATGGACGAGTGCAGCATGGGTGTGCCGGCTCTCCAGGGCCGTTTGGGCAGTAAGGTAACTCAGCTCCCCCTCCTCTCCAAAGCTCACCATCTTCCCCCAACACATACACCTTCAGGCCTTGCCTGCTCCACCCAGCCCCATGAGGCTGCCAGGTGCAGGAATTGGAGCCTACTGGCCGTAGCAAGGCTTTCTTCAGCTCTTCCTAAACTAGACCTGACCTTCCACTGTCATCCCGTTCCATAGGGATGGGCAGAGTTCAGTCCCAGACCTGCAACAGCAGCCAGCAGCAAGAGCTGCTGGAACGTTCCCAGCCGCATAGCTGGGGAGTGGGCAGCAGGGCACACCTTGGATCCCAGCCCTCCATTCCTACCCCGCCAGGCCAGTGTTGGACCCTGGATGTGCCCTGGGTCTCCACTCTCCAGACTCTCCCCGGGACTGTTTGCTATGATAGAGATGCCCTCTCGCCCTTCCTTCTGTGCTTGGTGGGCCCCTACTCACACTTCAGGGTCCACTCACTGGTCAGCATGCTCTCAGGCAGAGGGAGAACCTCCATTCTCCAGGTTCCACAATGCCACGTGGCACCACTTTCACACTCAGTACACTTCTAAGATGGTGTCTGATGGGTTTTTTGTATCACTCCTGCCCATCAGGGTGGGCATGCCTTCTCTGTCCCTGGTACCTGGCACAAGGTCATTAACTATGAGGGACAGTGGTAGCAGTGCCACATATACATGAGGGTTCTAAGACAGCCCAAGTAAGGGTGCCCTGGAGGGATGCCCTGAGGAAGAGAGGCCATGGGGAAAGGCAACCTAGCCATGGAAGCGATCCATCTTTTCCAAAGAAGGGCAAGACCATTGTCCCATCTCTGGCTGTAAGACCTTAGTTAGAAGCCGTGGGGCCACTTCTCAAGGCCTGAAAGGTGAGATGGTGCCACTAGATCTCCTGGGCTGGTACACCAGCAGCTCACAGCCGTGCCTTCTTTCCCCTAAGGGCCCACTGGGACTGACCCTCATTGGGCCACACACCCCATCTTTCTCCAGATGCCCCCCTGCAACAGCCTTTCTCATACCTGGGGCTCTTATCCCAGACCATCGTGTAAGCCCCAACCTCCCCACTTCCCAGATCCTTGAGTCATGCCCTCTATAATAGAAATTGGTCATCCTCTCGGCGTAAAGATCTTGACAAAACCCCAGCCTTGGTCAAACCTAAATCATCCACTCACTGCCTGCTTTCGACCAAGCAGCTGCTCTTTCCGGAGCAAAACACTGTCTGCATCGACTGACCTCGCTCTAAATTCATGACCACAAATCTCCAAACTTCCCTAGTACATTCACTTTCCCACTTGTTAAAATCAGCATCCCTCCTCCCTCTCCAACCTCCCATCCGCTCCTCCGCCCCCCACCCATGCTGTGACTCTGCCTGGTACTTAGGGGAAAAGGGAAGTCCAGGCAGAAACTCATCCCCCCACACCTGCCGCTGGCATTTAAGCTCAAACTCTCTTTGCTGATTGAAAGGCAAGTCCTCAGCCTGTGCCCTGGAGCCTGACCCTTCTCACCTCACGCCAGGGTCTCCCCCACTTCAGCTATCCCCCTTTCATGGTCACTGCCCCCACTCTACAAAGCCATCCCCACCCCTTAGAAAGCACCCTCTCTCCCCTTTCCACTGCCTCCCATAGCCACCTTCCTCACATGTCTGTGTCCAGGCACTGTCGCTGACCCCTCACATTCTCTCCTTAACCCCCAGCAGGGTGTCTGCAGACCTTCCACTAGAGTCTACCCCGGTGGGTCATGCCCTGCTGCACATCACCAAGAACCAGGCTTATTCTGCCCTCTTTCTCGGCAGCATTTGGCACAGCAGCCGTTCCCCTGGAACACCCGCAGGGTCTGCACCCTCCTTGAAAGCCACTCCTCCGCAGCCTTTTCTTCTCCCGAACTCTAAGTCAGAGGTTCTTGCTAAGAGTGATTCTCTCCCTGCCAAAGGACGTTTGGCAATGTCTGGAATAGAGGGAGGAGGCTGCTACTGGCATCTGGTGGGTAGAAGCCAAAGATGCTGCCACACTTCCTGCAAGTTGGGGGGCCACCCCCGCAACAAAGAATTACCAGGTACAAAATGCTGAAACGCTGAGATTAAGAAATGTTGCTCTAAATGCTGCAGCACCCCAGCTCAGTCTGAAGATCCTTCCTCTTCCTCTATACCCATGGCTCCCCTTCAGATGTGACAGGGCTCCCCCAGCCACCTCCTGCCCTGCTCTCCCCGCCGAACCCCAGGCTCCTTCAGCCCACCAACTGACCCCTTTGATGTCACATGGACACCTCAGACCTGACATTCCATTTCCCCCAGCACTGCCTAGCCCCGCGGTCCTCAGTGCGGGATTGTCAGTGAATGGTGCAGCTCCCCACCTGAGAGCCGGTGCCCTCACCCCATGCATGCAATCATAAGTGGGGCCACCGTGACCCCTAAACACTCCAAAAGCACCTACTCCTGTCCATCTCTATAGCCCCTCTCCCTTGCACAACCGCAGTGGCTTCCCAGCTATTCTGCTTCCAGCCCATTCTCCAGAAGGCATCAAGGACTTTTTAAACCTTAAGTCGGATTTGGCACCATCTTCCTTCAAAACCTCCAGTAGCTGCTGTCTGCTGCCTGTGAAATAAAACCCACCCCGTCTCTGCCTGACTTGGCTGCAGCCCCCTCCCCCTGCCAGTTACACAGACCCGACCTGCCTCTCTTTCCCCTGCCTCAGGGCCTTTGCACTGGCTACTCGGTACCTGAATTTTTACAGGCAGCCTCCTTCCATTTAGGGCTCAGCTGAAATGTCACA